CAGCACCGCGGCACCCCGCCACCGCCGGGCTTCATGTGAGAGATGGCGAATGCCGAAGTGAGCGTCCCTGTGGGTGATGTGGTGGTTGTACCAAGTGACGGAAACGAAGGGGAGAACCCGGAGGATACCAAAACCCAAGTGATCTTGCAGCTCCAGCCGGTGCAGCAAGGGTGAGTTGGACGGTACCGGTGTGTCTGGGAGGTGCTGGGTGGGGTGGGGGGCGTCCCTGTAGATTTTCGTGGTATGGGGACCGAGCGTCGCTGCGTTTTCCAAGTCTGCGTCGGTTTTGTGCCACGCACGATAGAGAGACAAATACAACGCAAAAAAGCTTTTGTGTGCGTCGCTGTCACGGGGCCTCCGAGGACTGAAATTGTCCTGCGGAGACGTGTCCGCGTGATGCTGGATCGCAGCAGCCCAGCAGTGGCGGTGGCAGTGGGGAAGCGGTGCGGTGGTCACGGTGCTGCCCCAGCCATGCATCCTCCCAGTCTCCCTCTTCCCTCTCCGGACCCAGGGTGGGTTTTTGCAACACTGCAGCTGCTGTATGTGGTGGTCTGTGCCCATATGTGCAGATCCGCATATGCCTCTGTGCCAGCTTTCCCCTCAAATAATCCTCCTCTAAAATACGATGAAGCTGGGATGTTGGAGGGAATTTTGTGGTACCCATGACAGCTGCTGCGGAGAAGTGGCTGCCACCAGGCACTTCATCTTAACTCTGGATCGATCAGGACATAAATATACAGGCTCCAGTTTGGTAATATTCGCAGAGCAGGGTGGCTGTAGGCCTGACAGTGACTCTTCCCTGCATGATCACCCGTGCTGCAGTGTCACACAGGGCTGGAAGGGAAATCCTGGGGCATTGAGCTCTGCTTCCTGTTGTCGTGGGTAACTGCCTGTAGCAGAAACCAAGAGGAGGAGGCACAGGGAAGCGCACTGCAGAGCTGCTTCAGTGGCGCTGGCAACGTGGAGGGTGCGATGACAGGACTGGGAACGCCTCTGCGTGTTTCAGTCCTTGGGATTATTATCGTATTTTGTATGTGCCAAAAAAATGCCTGTGATTGAAACTGTATCAAACGAAATCCACATCCCTGGAGGACAGGCAAGAAAGAAACGAACCGAATTTTTAACCACATGCTGTGAATCTTAATTTCCCATGATTTATGTAGTTTGTTTACGGATGGCCGCTTTCACAACAGGATTTACCAAGAGGGCTCCGAGGCCAGCGCCGCTGTAGTGGCTGTCGAAACGCACACCATCCACAAGCTAGAAGAAGGGATCGGTGAGTTCCCGCTTGGCGTGGGCAGAATCCCCTCCTCTGCAGGGCTGGTCGCCGCTGAGCTGGTGTCTCCAGTTCGCTGGGCTTCCTTCTGGCTCTGCCCCTGCAGATGCTGTTTCCCAGGCATGGATGTGGGTGCAGGGTCTGGGCATACTCTGGAATAAGAGTCTGCTGTTACTGCTTGGTCTTAAAGTCCTGGAACTGAGATCCTGGCTCTCCTGCAATGAATGGTAAGGGCTCCCACGGGGTCCAGGGGAGCCGAGATTTCACCCTAGTCTTGATGTGCAGACACTAGCAGGCAGGAATGATGGTTATAAGGATGGCAGTTGTGTCTGCGCTGGCTGAGGCACCAGACTCTGATTGCTGGTTCTTTGCTGAACGAACAGCCTGACAGTTTGGGTTGGACGTTCAGAAGAACCGAGCAGGTTGGCTCTGAGTGCTCCCTGCCATCCTGAGGAGTATGTGGGAAAAGGCTCCTGTCATTAGGTGCTATCGCTAGATCTTGACTAGTGTTCTGCTTCCTGTGTGGGTGTGGGTCTTTTGGCAGTATTAGCAGAAACTCTGCCTGTGAAGAGAATATATTATCAGTAAATATCTGATATTGCTGCTAAAGAGATACCAGAGCTCCAAAAAATCTGAGAGATATCTATGCTTCAAATTTTAAAGCATTTTGTTTCCACGAAGACTGTTCTCATTGACACCCCCCCAGATGTGTTGGATTTCTGATCTCGTGTTCTCCTGATAGATGAGCTTCATTTTGAGTGTTGCTATATTAAAAAGCAGATGCCAGTTGCTCTTGGAGCTTGTAACTGGAGAAGACTAAGAGAGGACTGATCCTGAACTGGGATCGGCCCTTCTTTTGGTTTCCTGACAGTAGGTCTCACAACCTGTGAGCTTTCAGCTCCCACCTTGTAGGATTTGAGTCTCTTGGGTGGAAAGTTTCATTTTCACCTGTTCCTCCCTCAGACCCCAGCACCATTGAAACGAACGAGGAGATCGAGATCGCCTATCCCATCACCTGCGGGGAGAGCAAAGCCATCCTGCTCTGGAAGAAGTTCGTCTGTCCGGGAATTAATGTCAAGTGTGTAAAGGTAAGGGAGTTTTCACAGCGGATTCCTTCTCTGCTCTCAAGGTCTGGTGCTTAACCTCCACAGGACCTTCTTACTTTTTGTGTTTCGTCTGAGCCTTTTCCTGGAGCCGAGTGACTTTGCCTTTGCAGCGTGCTGGATTGTCAGCGCTAGAATTGTTTCTAGCATGGGGAAAAGCAGGGGAGGAGTGGGTTAAGGAGTGAAGGCCCATCACGGACCTTATATTTCAGTGCTGCTCTTAATTACTGTTTAAAGCAGAGTCGTATTTGTCACTTGACAAGGGACTTGGAGCTGAAGGCAAGCAGGGGATGCGTACTGAGATCTGCCACAGCTTTTCGTCCTTGTCTCTTACTCCTGTCAATTCCTCAGTGAGCAGGTTGCATCGAGAAGAGAAATCTTGCTGTTATCTTTTTCCACTTGAGAGCTTGCTAATGTAACCGCTGATGCGCTGAGGCTGAGTCCCCGTGTGCTGCTGCGGCGAGAGCGCTCTGCTGCTGACCCTCAACAGGAGCTATCTTAGTCACTGGAGCAGGACGGAACAGATGCCCGAGTGAATACCTGTGTCAGCTAGATGTTGCTTGGCTATTTGATGTAATAGGAGTCTGACATAATGATCTCTGGGATGACTCTACGTGTTCGCAGAAGGAGCTAATTTGGCTCATGCCTCGTACAAAAGCCTTCAGGGCTGTGCTTGGCTAGAGCTGTGCGGTTCGAATGCCGATGGCTGGCAGGTCATCCCTGCAAACGCATCCATTCCAGAGTTATAAGCATTACTGGGCCGAGGGGATCAAAGCTGGTAGGAATTTGAGAAGCAGCTCCTCTTTCTGGGTAGAAGTGTGGGCTTAGATGAGCTGTGGACTGGCTGTGTTGGATGTCCCAAGTGATGTTACCCTGTGTTTGCTGAACCTCTGTTTATCTCGTTGCCAGTTCAATGACCAACTGATCAGCCCGAAGCATTTTGTTCACCTGGCTGGGAAGTCTACCCTGAAGGACTGGAAGAGAGCCATTCGCCTCGGAGGAATCATGCTGAGGTATTTGACTTGCCTACCACTGTGTCCAGCTTCAGGGCTTCATCACTGCAGCTGCAGGATCCCGAGCAGGCATTTTGTCTGCTTTGCAGTCCCCGGGAGATCTCTTGGAGGTTCACGTTACCTGGCCAGCAACCTGCAGCACCTCTGGGCAGAGATCCTGGCCCCGTGGTCTGAGGGGCAGGATTCCTCATCCTGTGCAGAAGTGGCCTCGCCTGGGGGAGCTGGTACTTGGTGGGGGTGGAACAGGACTGGAGCCCTGTATGTGAAGCTGGGGAATGGCTTGTATTTGCCATTTGAAAGCTCTGCAGGAGATGTTTTGTGTGCAGAGTGATGCTGGGTCTCCCTTTCTCCGTCCTTCCCATGGCTGTAGCATTCCTACGTGGAATACTCCCTTTTGTCTCCAGGCTGAAATTTGAGCTGAGCCTGGTTCTCTCCCCACTCCCTGCACAGGAAGATGATGGACTCGGGGCAAATCGACTTCTATCAGCACGACAAAGTTTGCACCAACACCTGTCGAAGCACCAAGTTTGATCTCCTGATCAGCAGCGCCAGAGCACCGGTGCCGGGGCAGCAGAGCGTGGTGCAGACTCCGACATCAGCTGACGGTACAAAACCAGTTAGCAATGCCGCAGGAGTTTCCCTCTGACACTCCTCTCCCTCCCTGGGCTATTCAAATCGGGTTGATCCACACACATACTTTACACCTTCTCCCCAGGCGTAGCAGGGCAGTCCCTCCCGTTCAGGAGACTGCTCTGATTTCTGGGAAGGAAAATGCTTCTCGTGTTCACTCAGAGAGGTCTCGGCAGCATCTGTCAGGGAGCTCTGCTCTGCAGTAATGGGAGGGCTGGAAAGCAGCTGGTATTAAGCAGCGACTAGAGGCAGCCTTGGGAGCCAGGGAAGGCTCACCTTGAAGGGATCCCTGTTCTGGGGTCACCATGTGAGCTAACACCTGAGAGCTTGTACAGTGTTTCCTGATGTCGTATTTGAGGGTCTATTACAAAGGCTCGAGGTGGGCTGATACTCAGAGATGAATCTAGGCATGCTGACCTCCAGCCTGCTCCACATTACCTGGAAGTCCAGAAATGGGGTATGATGGCTCAACATGACTTGGTTGTCATTCCAACTGCAAATTCTCAGCAAATCCCGTGTTTCAGAGCAGAAAATGATCTCTTTGCTGAGGTTAGGGGAGAAGACTACTCCCAACTGTACTCATTCAGCTGGGCAGGTTACATTTCTCTAACTCTAAGGCCCTGGGTGGGTGAAATGGCAGAGTTGTCCATAGGCTAAGGAGAATCTCCTGGAAAGCACGTGGGAAAACCTTACAGTGGCTACAGATTGGCTTAGTCCCAAATTTGATCCAGAAACTTAGGATTGAGTCAGATCCATTTCCCTTCTATAAACCAGCTTGGACCCTGACCCTGTCATTTCCTGAGAGATTAGGGCATCTCTGGGGTGCAGAGCTCTCTGTTGATGATGCAAGAAGGGTGGCTGGGCTGAGGCTTATTTGTTCCCTTCTGATCCCTTTCTGCTTATTTTATGCCAGCACTCCAGTTTGCTTTTTGGAGGGCACGTGGTTTTCCCTCCAGAAGCCCCAGAGCCTTTCATAATCACAGTTCGGATGAGAAGCAGCAATATTTGCTTTTAGCTAATTTGGTTGAAAGAGGCCAGGCACAAACAACCTGACGACGAGAGTAAAAAAAGAGCCTGGGAGGGGTGAGGGGGGTGGAAAGCAAAGCAGGGATTCAGGTCTGGCACTCCGGGTGCCGCAGAGGGAGCTGACGTTGCCTCTCTGGCAGGGAGCATCACCCAGATCGCGCTGTCGGAGGAGAGCATGGAGGAGGGGATTGAGTGGAACTCTGCTCTGACGGCTGCTGTCACCATGGCCACTGAGGAAGGCATGAAAAAGGACACGGATGAGATCTCGGGTAAGCTCAGGCTGCTTGTTGGGTGTTTTCTCACCCTCTCCTCGCCTGTTACATTCTGGAAACTGAAATCCTGAAAATAAGGAGAGTTTAGGCAATGACAGAGCTGTCCCCCAGCCCCTTGGCTATCCCAGCATTTCCCAGGCGTGCAGGGTCCCTGCCAAACAGAGCTCCTCATCGCAGCAGGCAGAGTGAGACTTCAGCCCTGGCCTTGTGGCTGATGGATGATCCCCCAGATCAGTTGCTGCTAGTTACAGTGAGGGGTTTTTTTTTGTTCATTTTGGGAATGTAAACGTCTGCCAGTCTGGAGCTGGACTGAAATCATCAGGGAGCAGTGTCTTGTTAGTACCCCATGTTAGTACCCTGTCAGCTCTCTTGGCTGTGTCTCTCTGGCTGCGGTGCCTTGCCTTCCCTCTTAGGATCAGTACAGAATTTCCTCAAGCAAAGATTTTAAGCTCTGCACCTTGCGAAGGTGAACAGAGGCAGTGAAATGTTGCCTTGGAAGTCACGGTGCTGCTTGAAAACATGTTACTGATTTGCTGCCTGAGTCTGTTTTGTTTCTTTTGGGGTTTTTTTTTGCATGTCATATCCACCCCAGTGGCCAAATTAGAAGTCGTCTTGCAAAGTTACTCTTGCCTGAAAGGTTTAAGTTAGCCTTGTGGGCAAAAATGCCAAATGCTTGTACATGTTGAGTTCTTTTTCCCTCTCCTTCTGCCAGAGGACACACTGATGTTCTGGAAAGGAATAGCTGATGTGGGGCTGATGGAAGAGGTCGTATGCAACATCCAGAAGGAGATAGAAGAAGTCTTAAGAGGCGTCCAGCAGAGGTTGGGTCAGTCTCCCTTCCAGATGACAGGTAGGTTGTGAGCCACAGCCTCTGGCTCTGCGGTGGGGAAGGATGCTCAAAAGGGCAGCTGCAGGCAAAAAAAAAAAAACTGCCAAGGGTCCCTGCCCACCATTTAAAGCTGTTGGGTCAGGATGGTGAGCAAGTTACCGCTCATTAGCTGAGCTGTGGGAGCTGAGGCTAGGTGTGGTCTCAGCCTGCCCAACTGTGAAGTGCATTTGCTTACACCACTGCGGGGCACAAGGACACAACATGCCACCCTGGCCCCTGAGCAAAATGACCCTGGCAGCTTGCTGAGACCATCGGGTGACTGTCCTCAGATCCTGGCCCTCATGAAAGCCTGCCCAGGTTCACTTCTCGGACCAGAGTTATTCAAACACTTTTCACTGTGACAGTGCAGGCTGAAACAGGTCCTGCCCCCTCACTTCTCGTTCTGTCTTCAGTTGTGCCAGAAAACCTGTTTTTGGGGCTGAACCAGATGAGGGAACTGATCTGGGTTAAAAATAACTCCCCTCCCCGCTTTAGGGTTATTTTTAACTTGGATCAGTTCCTTAATCCAGTTCAGCACATGCCCCTGTGAGCCCAGGGTTTGAGAGCACCTCTTGTTGATGCTCTTGCTGAGAGAACATCCATGTAGCCACAAACTTCATTTTACCCAGAATATTTTTTTTTTTTTATTTTCTAATTTAGCTTTGGGCTGGCGGATCTTTGTGTCTGGTAGGTGGCAGCTTTTGGAAGCTGTAAGTGATTGAAGTCAGTGGATTATAATAGAAATTTTGCACAGCTTTCGGTGGAGCTGGCATGTTAATGACACTGTCAGCAGCATGGGGTGATGATTTGTAGGTGGAGAGCTCGTTTGTATCTCTGTGATTGCAAATTATGCTTTCATTTGCAGCAATTTTGAGCTGCTTGGGTGACACATCTCTGTTTCATTTTCTTTATCATGTGAATGGGATTATTTAGTCCTTGCATGTCAGAAGGAAGAGGGAGCTGGGTCTGCCCTTGTCAGCCAACCCTTGGGAAAGAACAGACATAGTTTTACAAAAAGCAGCAGAAAATTTTTGGTGTAATACGAGCATCTTTTGAGTACCTGACTGAGTCCCACCTGTGGGACTAGGCACTCGTCCCCATGCACTTTCCTTGCAGATGCTGCAGTCTTGAACAACGTCGCCCACACATTTGGCCTAATGGACACCGTCAAGAAGGTTCTGGACAACAGGAAAAACCAGACAGAGCAAGGAGAGGAACAGTTTCTTTACACGCTGGCAGGTACAGTCAGCGCCTAGTAAGGCTTCTCACCCTGTTGCTGCTCTTGGGAACTGATGTGACTTTCCTTCAACACATGAACCATATTTGGGTTATTGTTCAATACACGCTGCCCCAAAACAAATGCATCCCAATCCTTTTCCATCCTAGGGCTTGAGTGGAATCTCCCCTCTCCTTTGCCTCGCAGTGAGCAGTTGCTTGGAGCATTCGACAGCCCAAAGTCTGTGCCCTTTGCTGCAGCCAGGGTGCTGGGGCTGCGAGTCCGATTCCGTCAGCATTAGGAAATAGGTGCTGCTGTGCGGCAGTCATCCGAGCTGCAGGCAGTGCCGTGCTGTGCCCGAGCTCATAAGCTTCTCCGTGTACGGGGAGCTGAGTTGTCTGCTTGTCTTGGCGTGGAGCTATCAGGTGTCTTGCATGGCTTCCCCTGAGCTGAAGCCAATAACCTGACCTGGATTCCCCAGAGCCGCTTGCTGGATGTGTCTCCATCCTCACCGTGTCCTGTAGAACCTGTTCTTATCTGGGATGTCCTAGTCCCCTACTGCCCTGGATAAATGAGATTACTGTGCTACTTCTGACTTCCAATGTTCACACAGACAAGGGTTGAGGGAGATGTTTCATTGACCGGGGCAGTCCTGCTCCCTCTCCCCAGTACAGGTGCTCGGCTCCTGGGGAGGGGACCCAGCCAAGCTCAGGAAGCAGTTCCTACCATCTGGAGGGGCTTGTCCATTCTCCCTTGTAGGTGGGTCTGGCCTGGGGAGCAGAAGTGCCCATCTTCTCATCAGTAGGAGCAGCCAACTGGTACAGAGCATTGCCTGTTCCTCATCCAGGCGCTGACAGCCGGCCAAAGCAGGCTGAGCGGGTGCAAGAACATTGACCAGGTCTGCGTGGGTGGCAGGAGAATCTGGTGTTTTCCTTCAGTGCAGTTTGATCTTGAGTGAAATGCTAAGCTCATGCTCGACTGGGTGGTTAGGAGACCTCCTGTCGCAAATATGGGATGTAATGGCTGTTCGTGGAGCCCTTGAGTCCCCAGGAGCTCCTGCAGCGTGCTGGCCCTAGCCCAATGCGCTGCTTAGCCGTTCTCTTTGCAGACCTGGAGCGGCAGCTGGAAGAGCAGAAGAAACTCGCCAAGGACCAGAAGGCGAAGTCCCAAACCATCCAGAATGTGGTGCTGATGCCCGTCAGCGCTCCCAAGCCCCCCAAGAGACCCCGCCTGCAGCGCCCAGCCTCCGCCACCGTCCTCAGCCCCTCCACCCCTATCCAGCAGCCTCAGTTCACGGTCATCTCGCCCATCGCTATTGCGCCCGTCGGACAACAGTTCTCCGTGGGCAACATCCCGGTGGCAACCATTAGCCAAGGCTCCAGCCCGGTGACTGTTCATACCTTGCCGTCTGGCTCCCAA